TGAAGTGTTTTTTCTAGAATATGCTATATGATCCTCTGAAGCTGTATGATAMATACTATTAAATATACATAAACAAAACTATATACTTGGGGTTTAATGTATTTTTGTTCATTACATGGGCATGAATATTAAATTTGTTATTATGCTGTCTGGTGATGTCTGCTTGATTCTTTATTTCTGTGGCTAATCTTTAGAAATAACCCATCTTTTCTACTAAAACAGATCTCTTATGCAAATGCTCTTACAGCTTTGGCCTAAAATTGGGGGAACAGAACACTTCATGTATCTGAACTTGCCCATAAATGACAATCTCAAGTTGGCCTTGAGACAGCAGGACCTTCTGGTGAATAGGTCAAGAGAGATGTGGGGATGAAGTACCCAAACAAGTATCATCTGTATTTAAAGAAAAAAAATTAAAAGAGAGAAGACAGGAAACTCCTCATGCTTTGTTTATTAGAAATATAAGTGTTCTTTATTGCTCACTACTCCCTTATTAAAAACAAAACAAACATGAAACATAGGAGCAAAAGAAAGAAAGCAGCTAAATGGCCAGACCAAATAAAAGAAGAGATATGAGGCTAAGATATTTTGGTGGAATCTAAATTCTGTTTCCTGAAACATTCTATGCAAGACATTTCAGCCAAGTTAAGAAGTTCRGATCTCAACACTACCCTACAGCAGAGTATGTAATTTTGTAAGGAGCAAATCCTGATTACTGAAAGACAAATTCAGCAGGGCCTTCTTACAGGATTTTCTCATTATTTTCCTTACTGCATTAGTGGGGTTTTGGCAGATAAACTCAAAATAGCCACACAAAAGTGTTGCAGAGTCTGAATCTGATGGAACATTACAAACATGTGTGAACTTTTTAATTGCTGCTATTACTAACRTATTTTGCAGTGTTACACTATGCACACAGACTGGCTTTGAACATATGAAGACCTGACTCAGATTATGTCCATCCAGCCAAAAACTGTGCAACAGTGCCCAGGAGCAGATGCTCAGGGGGAGTTTAAGAAACAGACACTGTGGAATGACTGTTTCCCAGCAGCTCTTTCTAAACATGGGAAATCAGAAGTAATGATGTTTCTGAAAGTACCAGGATCCACCATTTAACAGTGGACCTATTCTCTGTGAACTCACCTAGTGCCTTTTCACTCCTTTGTAATTTTGTGCCCCACAGCATCCTGAGGCAAAAAAGAACACAATATTCTCATGTAAAAAAGTCCTGTTGTCTGACATCTTACTGAAGTTCTCACTAGTTTTTAGCTGATACAAAGTACTTAATGCTTGTTACATATTTAACCTTCTCTACGGATTTAATGATWTTCTAGATCTGTTCTTTACGAAGASTTTTCCTCTCCCGTAATTCCCTTTAAATGTTGAAAAATGATGTTCTGCTTCTGCTACACTGAAGCTGGTGTATACTAGTTCTAAATATGCTTTCTTTTCTCTCTTACTGKTGTACTTTCTTCTACTTGCCCATTCTGATGTGGGATTGCTGGCATTCCGGAATGTGTCATAATGAGATTTGTCAGATTGCTTGCTTTCCTAACAGCATTCCAAGCCTACGGATGGAGTGGTGTTCTCTCTCTGAGCACCCAGGATGGCTTCCCAGAACTATCCACCGTGACCCTCTCATCCCCTTCTTGAGTGGTAACAGCTTATTCAGAGCTATTGACTCCCTCTCCAGTACGAGCTACAGAGAAACAAGCCTGGGAAAGTCCCGTCATTTACTAAAGCTGCTGATCTATATGAATGTTAATTGCAGCTAAGAGTCCTGTTGGGCCAGTACTAATTAATTATCATATAAGTGCCACCAGAGACTGATTATAAACTTCCTGAGAGTTTAATCCTTGTACACACAAAACTTCTAAGAAGAATGGTGAAACACTAAGGTCACGATTTCTAGAAGAAACATAAGAAAACAGAGATTAAYAGGGCTTTAACTTGGTCTCAGTGTTTGCCTGCACACTACTCTCCGTTAAACATACGAAAAGATACCTTTGTAAAAACAAACCAACAAACCAACTAAATAACTGTACTTAACAAGAGAATAGATGAGAGGGGAAGATATTTTGGAGAGTCTAAATTCTAGAGAGTAATATTAAGACTAATTTAACATGTAAATCTAATTAAGGGATATGAGACAATATAATTTATGAGCTTTCTTTGCTGCCTTCATTTTCAATTGTGTCCAAAAGTGTTCTTTAAGCACATGAGTGTCTCTGACTTGATCTCACTGGGTTACTTTGGTGGCTAAGAGTAGTGACAGTAATTAGCACTTTGCTGTGAGGGACAGCTACCAAGCAAATCCTACACAGTAAAAATGCCATGAAGTTGAGAGATACTACAAAGCTCTCACAGTATTAGAGGCTCTAATAGTTGTGTTGTACAGTTARAAAACCTGAACCTCCATCTGATGCTGAACATGATTTCTATTTGTGTTTATAATCAACCGACATCCATCCCCTCTGGAATGTACCGCTCCAGATGCTCTCTAATCAAGCACTATYAGTTCACCCTTTCTGCTACCTTGGGCTTTGTTGCTACTGCAGACACTGTTATTTGTTAAAAGTACTTAGGTATGCAGGCTTTGGTTTTTTTACTCTCTCTTCAGTTTACACCAAAACATCCTTTTTGTGTAAAATAATATACCTGAAGATGCCAGTACTTAGGCTAATACAGCCCTTGAGTAAATGTAGGGTTTTGCCAATCTGAGTGGTAATTCAGGCTGGAAGTGCTTGGGTTGGCATGCTTCCATAGTTAATACCTGCCTGCATAAGAAGGTCCAGAAAAGCCTTCTTAGAGTCTAAAACTGTGCCATGCTACCCTAACCCCCAAACCAYGTTCAGCTGGGGCTTTCCAAGACACAGCAAGCTGAGTGGTGGGAATAGGGTTGCAACAGCAAGGCTCATATCCCTTGTGCAACGGAAAATTTGGAGAGGAACCAGTGACTGCTTTCTTTCCTGAATTCTGGCAGAAGATTGCAGAAATGCCTCTTCCCTCAGGCAAGCTACATCTCAAGGGTGAAACAGAGATGTAGAAACTGCAAGACAATAAAGCATGATTAATTTCTGTCCGTGAATGCTGTGCTATTGCAACCCAACTTCCAGGTGTTTTTAAGTGTAATCACTCCTATCTTGCTTACATTCTTCTGGGAAGAGATCCATTTTAAAATTACTGCAATCTCTCAGCTCTCTAATTTACTGAATAGTAGGGATGTAGATGAGGGGGTGTTTTGCATCTTTGCCTGAACAAGATTAGCCTGATGCTTTTGGGTTGAAGAAAGCAATTATGGCATTTGTGTGTGAAATGTTTGCATTGCTTGTCCTCTGGTTTTTCTAATCATCTTGCAGTTCTGGGGATGTTATCTACTTCTGATTTAAGATCTTGTGAACAATTACCCACTTTGTGAGGAGCAGAGCAGACTGCACACTTTTCTTTCAACAGCAGTTCTCACAAAGATAAATCCAGTTCTCCTCATTGCCAGGTTGTGCTCCAGTTTGTTCCATTACTTCATGCATTTAAAGACAATAGGGATCTCTACGTTCATGAATTCATCCCAGAACACTTGCACAGGAAAATGTGCTCTGTGAGTTACACTGCACTTACAGAAAGTGTAGTTTTAATCTCCAAAACTGCTCATTTTGATGTGGAGATGGGATTATTCTTAGGCATTGTGATAAAATTGGGATCTCTTTTATAGGCTGCGATGTAGAGCTTCCTTATATGTTCTATAGGGAATTTTGTGTGCCTTTTTAGGCATCACAGTTGAAGATGCAGCACATCTAGTAAGGCATTTACACCTCAAGAACTTGCTTCTCTTGTTGATCCCGCAAGCYTGTTGAGTTACTGTACAAAGTGAAGTTGTTTACAGAATTAGAAAGTGGAATACATGAGAAATGGCTGAAAAGCTGATGCGGGAAGCGCCACTCATCCTATCTGTAATTGCCTTGAACAAAACACAGATATGCTCTGTAGCAGGAGCGACACATTTGTGCCCAAGAACCCTAACACTGGTGAATAAAATTGTCTGGTTTGTGATTAATGGAGCTAAAATAAAAATGTGATTATGCAGAAAACATTTTCTTYGTGTTAGTGTCCTCTTTCCAAATAAAAGCTTTTAGCAAGAAAAAAATTGCTTTGGTTGGGTTGGGCTGAAACTCTGCTTCCCAGCTGTTTCATAATTTTTTTTTACAATTTTCCAGCACTCTTTCAGCCCCTCTACTCGGCCCTCACAAGGCCACATCTGTAGTAGGGTGTTCAGTTCTGGGCTTCTCTGTACAAYAGAACATGGAGGTCCTGGAACAGGTCCAGCAGAGGGAAACAAAGATGATTAGGGTACTCTGTTAGGAGCATCTTATGAGGAAGTACTGAGAGAGCTGAGCCTGTTCAGCCTTGAGAAGAGACAACTGAGAGGGGAACGCGTCAATGTCTATAAATATCTAAAAGGGTGGGTGCCAAGAGCAAGGAGCCAGGCTGTCCTTGGTGTCTGAGGAGGGAAGTTCGATCAGCTGATCCACTGTGGTCCCTTCCAACCTGGAGGATTCTGCGATTTCAGAGGTGGAAACAGCTTTTTCCTTGCACAATAAAAATACTAGTATTAATATAAATATAAAACATCTCCCTGCGTTCTCCGCGGACGATTGACCCTGTCCAGCCCCTGGTACAGCGCCGTGCCGGCAGGTGAGGCCAGGCCGCGGCACAGCCTCTCCCGGGGCGCTGCGGGGCCGCGCTCGCTTCTCGGGGCGGCGCGCCGAACCATTGGCGGCGGGGCCGGGGCTGCGGCGGCAGCGGGCGGGGCGTCGCTGAGGGGCGGCCCGAGGCTCCTCCGCCGGCCCGCCCTTCTCGCCCGCCCTGCCCCGCCGCCCGGGCCCGGCTTAAAGGTGCGCGGGGGCCGCGGCGGCGGCAGWAGCGCAGTGCGGTCGGCGGCGGCTCCTCAGCGGTGCCGGGAGCGCGGGGGGGCCGTTYCCTTGAGCGCCTCGCCTGGAGCCCCTCCCTGCCGCCTCCGCCGCGCTCCCGCCCCTCGGGCCGAGGCTGTCACCGCGCCTGGCGCCGGGCGCCGCCAGCATGTTTGACAGGACGCGGCTGCCCTTCGTGGCGCTGGACGTGCTCTGCGTGCTGCTGGGTAGGTCGGGGGTCCGCGGAGGTTCGGGGAGAGCCGCCCCAGGGCGCCGCGCTCCCCCCGCACGGCACCGCGCTGATCGCATGCTCGCCTCCCCCTCCCCGCCGCGCCGGCACCACCCGGAGAGGGCTCTGGCCGGCCCGCAGCCCACGCCGCAGCCCCTGCCGTGCCTGCCGCCCTCGCCCGCTCCCCCGCCTCCCGCCCCGCGCCCGCACGGGGGGATCTGTCGCTGCCGTGGGCTGGGAGGGTAAGGGAAAGCCCCGGGGGGAGGGAGCTGCTGCGGCTTATCCACTGACATCTGGAACTCCTTCTTCTCTCTGATGTCCTTACTCTTCCTTCCCTAACTCCTCTGTTGGTTGAAAACCGGTTGTGGCTAAAGCCAGTGCTGGAGCGGTAGATGTCTGGTAGATATCTGCAGCCTAGGAGGTGTTTGTTATCCCGGCTGGATCGGGAAGCTGTCCTGGAAGGCGCCGTCATCTCGGAAACACGCCTCACCCATCCCAGGGTCCTGCAGCGGCACGATGGTGCTCGGCAGTAGAGCAGGGTTTCGCTGTAAGGCTCAGTTGAGTGTGGTGTCGGTGGCACTGAGCTACCACTGTAGCTGTAGGCTGGAAGCGAAATGGGACATTCATTAGAGCGCGGTGTGGGCGCTCTCGTGTCCGTGTGCAGCAGTGAGAGACCGGTGTCGGGGCAGGAGCGATCGGTGATGGCCATGGGTTGAAYCGACACAGCCACAGCACACTGCCACAGCGCTGCAATGCTTGTCTTGGCCAGCCCAAATAACAGCGCCTTCCTATTGATACTTCTTTCTATTTCACTCTCTATTGAAACTATTTCATGTTCTGTCAATTTGCRTTATCTGTCTCCTTTTATCGTGTAATGATACAGTGTAAGGATAAATGATGTTAAATCAGAGAAGGAGCAGTTTCACTTTTTAAAGAGCTGTGGCACCTCTCTTGAGAGCCTGGGAAGTGTCTTTACTCTGGAGATGCACTTCAGTCTTAGGAAGTGCTAATTTTGGATGTTTGTTTCTTAAACAAATAATGTCGGTTCTTCAGTAATTGAAGCACTCTSTTGTCATGTTCAGTGGATAGTGTTCAGGCCTAGGTCATTAATTCCTGCTTGGCTGAAGATATTTGTAGCATCAATATAATAAACATTATGAACAATCTTTTTCTCTTCCTGTATGCTTCAAATAGCAATGATACCTGTAGCTAAATGCCATTAAAGAGCAAAATTGCAATGAATGTATTGCTCTAAGGTAATGTTATAGGAGGCATAGTTTTGGCAAAATGATGGTGGATCCATGCAATCAACTGGGAGCAGTCTTTATTCAGGTCAGGAGTTTTATCAAACTGTGCTGTTGTGAGGCTTAAATTTTAACACACAGTCTTTATGGCGAGTGAAGCAGTTTTGTCTGTCCTGATAATTGTCATTACAAAATCTCTATAATTAGACAATTTTTTTCACTGTGCGTATAGTTTGGTCTTTGGTATGAAGCATATTATAAGTAATCTTGATTTATTAAGGAAAGCAAAATAATGTTGAAAGTAAGACTGCAGAAGCATGTAACTTAAAGGTCATCCAGCTATAAGGATGAGGGTTTCCCCCTACTTCTGCCCCAAGTTATTACCTGGCACGGTAGGTTCTTGACCTTGCTCTGCAGTGTAATACCAGTTTACACAGCTTTCTCTTCTCTCTCCCTGACCCTGTGTAGCATTTGGATCACTGATGCACTTACCTGGTGCCTTAGTGTGCTGGAGGGTTGCCAGACTTTTTATTTTCCCTTGGGYTTGTTTACTTCGTACTAGTAGTCTGAAAAATGCAGGCAGTGCATAATATGAAGTGCCTTGACACCTGCAACTTTAAATACATTGAGTTACAGATGCAAGTGAAACTATAACTGAGACAAAAATATACCTACCGGCAGAATGGAAAAGATACTGAGTGTAGGACCAAGTTGCCTTTTCTCTGATGTGGCTGAGAGAGGCCCTTAGAAGAGCATAGGTCTTACCTGCATCTAATGGGATGTTTAGTTTTTTTACTGTAGAAAGAATAGTTCCTGTTGGCTGTGGACTTTTTCCCTGCCCTTCCCCCAGCCTGTGCACTTTGGTATGTGCTCGAATGTCCAAGGTAACTGCCCGGATAAAGTGACTTACTCCTGTGGATAAATGATACCTAGTATCTCCATTACAGAGACCACAAGGCCTCCAAGAGAACTGAAGGTTTTAAGACTATGAAGACCAGTTTCAGTTGTGGACTGAACTCCCAATCTTGGCGTGGTAGCCCTTGCTACCACAAAAAGRGTAGCATACTCAGGATCCCAAGGTAACTCTTGTCAGCTGGTAGGGAGCTTTATTTTTTTCTTCTCTTTTTCCTGTTTGTACCTTCCCCAAAGTAAGTGCAGATGGGGAAGAAAAAATAATTTGTGTCAGTAATAGTGGGCTTGAAGCCCGAGAGATATCCAGGCATATCACTTCAAGYTGCAGGATCTAACACACCCATAAACTCATCTCAGTGCAAGTGGGTGATTCTGTATGTCTGGCTTACTTGCCCCTGTTTTAGTCAAGCTATTTTGTGCAGTTTCAACTTTCCCAACACAAGTTTTTCAAAAGAAAGGGAAGAGGAAAAAAGAGCTGTGCTGTGATTATTTTTTTTGTGTGTGTGATTTAAATGGGTTTATTGAAGGGTGTGGCAAGTGCTTAAGACACAGCTCAAATAAGCGAGTAAGAAATACATCAAAAAAGCAGGTGGGGAGAGGGGGAAAAAAAGTGGGAGGTAAAAATTTCTCCCCCCATTAAACTGTTAGATCAATTTAGTTGCCTGAAACTTGAGTCTAAGTTTCTTTCAATTGTCCTTAAGAAAGCTCTTTTCATCTTCTGCCTTTACCCACTAAAGGAGAGAATTCAGGGAAAGCTGTCTTTGGTGCCCTGAGAAAAATAACTGCTTCCCTCTTATCAGCATGATAATTCTCTCCTTCTTAAAATAGCACTGTGCTTCAACATTAAACTGGCTTCATATTCTGTAATGTAAAAAAAGCAAAAGCTGCAGGTTTCTGCAGTTATGTGTCCTCAAATAGCGTGAGGAGGCTGGATCTGCATTCCTTGTGTGCTGCAATGCTGGGTGTGCGTACTGCATGTCCGCATGCAGCTCTGCAGTGCTGCAGGCAGCACCTCCCTTACTCCCTGTGCTCCAGTGGACAGTGCGCAGCTGCTTCTGGCACTGGAAAGCATGAGTGGGCTCAACTGCAGGATTTATTTCTCCTGCAGACTTGTGTTACTTGTCTCTCCTGGGTTTTCTTGTAGAGAGACTTTTTATATGGCATGGCAGAGATTGGCATATCTAGACAATAGTAAAAACCATTTGGCATTTCTAGACTATAGCATTTTTCACACATGCTGAGGYGTGGTTCTTATGGTTTATTAAATTTGCAAACTGTTATGCAAAAATAACAGCTTACTAGGATAGYTTAATTAGTTGGATTGCAACTGATGTCTTCATTAGGCACTATATGTATACTCTGCCACTCTTACAGCTCTATTGTTTGATTGCAAATTAGGCTCTTTTTTTCATTAAGGCAGGTAAACAACACTTAAAGGACAAAGTTGGGAAACCCATGGCAATATTCCTGTAATCAGTAAAGGAACTGCTAAATAAATTTATCTTTAGATCAGGCTCTCACGAAGACAGATTAAAGTAAGCTCTAAAGAGGTGACCGGAGCCATAAGAAAAATGCTGTCTGTCACAACTGTGGGACAACTTTCAACTGGTCAGTACTTGCTGAATGAAATTCATGCCTAAGTGGAGGGGTGCACTGAAACACAACTGTGTTTCTTTAGTCCCTTGCCTGACTATGCAATTACTGACAAGCTATTATAAGTAATTGGGGTGTGTACTTGTTAGTATGTGATTGCTGGTGTAATGGACGAGAATGTCCAACCCAAGATCAGAAAAACCTGAAGTCTTCTAAAGAATTCAGCCCTTTCTGTTCTGAGTCACTTTCCTGCAATATGTTGGAAATAGAAGAAGGAATGACTTAGTTAAAYTTGAAACTGCTGTGGAATATAGTTGCATCTGTCTAAGGATTTCATCTTTTTTTCCTCTCCATGTCCTACCCTGTGAATGTAGGGAAGGTGAGACTATGGCAGTCTTATGATGGTAATAATKAYTCTTTTTTTCTTTTTTCCCTATGAAACTACTTCTGAGTAAGGGAAGGACTTTTAGTCCWTCCAGAAAGAAGGACATGAACTAAACCCAGAAATACTAAATCCTCACATCACTTTCAGCTTGTTATTTAAAGACTGCCAGAATGTTTTGTGATACAAGGCAATATGCTAAACAGCAGATTCATGTGTATAGGACACATTGATTTTGTTTTTGCAGTGTGTGACCTGTGGGGGTGAGATGGATGGTCTGCCCTGCACAGTGTTTTTGCTTTCYGTGCCGTTCTTCCCTTGGGAGTGTTTACTCTTGCCGTCACTGAAGGCAGCATTCTCGGTGACAATTAAGGTATTGCTGTTCAGTCAGGGAAGGCTCCTTCTTTGTGGGTTAGCACTTCCTGATTGCCCTAGTTCAAATAAAACCTCCTCCGCTATTAKTTGTGACTCACTGACATATGTGTCACCATTCTTATTTTCCACATCATGTGGGTGCTAAATGCTTTTTCTAGTGCATGATTACATTATAAAGCTGTAACAGGTACATGTGAAAGAGTGGTTTGTCTTCAGTGACACTATCCACCAGGTACTGTGAGATGGTACTCATTAAGTTGGCACTCTGAGTTAATTGGAAATRAGGTTATTACTGACACTGGGAAAATCTTTCCTCTTACTGTGCTTTTTTTCTTAGAACAGTCACCCTTTTTTTCCCCACAATAAGATGCTTTACCAAAGATTCTCTCCCTCTTGATCAGAAGCTTGTAGAAAAGCTTTAGGTAAGAACTCAGTTAGTTAATGAACACTCTTCAAAGTCAGCAATCTCATTCTTGCTCCGCCAGTTTTTGC